TGTTTGCTGAGTGGTATGAGCTCCATTTTGCCCAAGGAAGGGTTGAGGTCTAAGGCTCCAGAGGTGGGCCACTTTCAGAGGGGTCTCTCCAAAACCCAGTCACAGAATGCAGGGACTTGGGACTCCCAGGCTCAGGGCTCTCCAGGGGACACGTGTTATCCACAATCTACCTCCTATCCAATGTGGCTTTTCTCTCTAGAGGTGGAAGGGAAAAGAAAGAAAATAGCTGTGACACTTACCCTCGACCTGTTCACTGCAGGTAGCAGGAGAGAGAGAGAAAGAGAGAGAAAGAGGAGGTGAGGGTGGGCTTGGCTCACACAGGCTCATAACACACTGCTCATAACTAGCTGGTCCTCTAGTCTCTGCACACAAGCCAAGGGCCTGGGCCCAAGGCTGCTTCAGGGGAGGCAGCCACTCAGCTACTCAGGCAGTACTCACACTTCCTCGTCAGACATGGTGGGAGTAGGTTGTCTCTGCACAGAGAGAAAGAGAGAGAGACCAGAGGAGAGTCAGGGCTGCCTTGGTTTAGAAAAGCTAGAAAAGTTGGGGTGGGGGGGGCTCCGGAGCTGGAATTGTGAGGGAACATCAGCAGACAGGGGTCGAGGGCCAACTCTTCAGCCCTGGGTGGGTCTGCCTTGTGCACTTGGGGCCTCTTTACCAGGTTCCCTCCCTTCCTCCAAGGCTCTAGGCCCCCTCCCAGCTCTCCTCACCCCAGACTCTGATCCTCCCTCCTTCCTGCCTGGCTCCAGCCTGGAGCTTGGAATCCCGGGGCTGGACGGGATGTTGGAAGGCCGCTGCATCCACCCCCACCCAGGGAAGACATCCTCTCTATAGCGTTCCCCAAAGAGGGTCATCCAGGATGCACAGCGCTTGTCCAGGCTGCTCTGGACACTGGGAGAGTCCTACGGACTTGAGTTACGATCTGCCTCTTGGTGATCTCTGCTCAGTGCCCCTCAGCTGGGGGGGTGGCTTCCTGGGAGCCCCCAGATGACCGAGCCTGGCTCTCCCAATGGGTAATGGGACTTTCTCTGGCCTGTCCACTCTGCTGTCTCCCATGAAAACCCCCTACTTGTGTGAGCCCAAAGCTTCCTGGGCCTCAAAGCTTTATTGGAAGACCACGTGTTCTCTTATGAGGTGCTCTAGAGTTTCCTGTGTATTCCCCCACAATCTCTGAGGGCCCCCTTCCAAAATCATAATGCATTCAACTATGCTGTCTTCTTGTTCCCCTCTCCCCTCCCCACCAGCACGGAGACTGAACTCAGAGCTCGTGGGGGCTGTTGTGCCGGGAAGCCCCCTGCCAGGTACTCATGTGGGCCGTGTATTGTGGGAATGCAGGAGAACAACATCCCTGTTTCCCTCCTGAGGCCCATGTTCCCAGGCCCCGAGGATGCTCTTGAATTTGTCAATGTCTGTGGGTTAGCTCTGGGCTGGGACCGGCCGCACGTGTCCAGGTGCGGCCGGCGCCGGGCCAGTGTGCTTGGGGACTGTCTTTCCGTGAGCTGGCCACCGCACACGCCTGAGGCTGCGGGGGCTTGAGAACACTCTGAGCAGCTGCAGCAGAATGTTGGCCCGGGGTTTTAAAAAACAAAGTTCATTACAACATATTACAGCTTACTTGAAGACAATAGTTATGGTCCCCCCAGGGAGCTTTGTATAAGAAAAACACACGTTCATCAGCTAAAAATGCATTTACATCGCATTGCTAAGGTGGGAACTGTTTTCCAAACCCTCTGTCAGGAATGTTAATTTTCCCAGAGCAACTTAAGCTCCATGCAAAATTAACCAGCAGATATCTGCAAAGTCGTCTTCCAAGGAAAGGGTGCAACGCTTTCTCATTCTAGAACCTCTTCCTGGAACTCCACTGCCCCCTCAAGTCACAGCCTCTTTTCTTCCCTCTAGCTGGACCAGGGGCTCCCATCATGCCTCAGCTCAATCAGCCAGGTTTACTGAAGCCCTCTAGTTGGGCCTTGCCCTGGGCTGCCCTGGACCACCTGGCACCCCTGAAAGACCCCTCTGTTTCCTCCTCCACACCCAGGGAGCTGCCCTCTCTACTAGTCCGGGTCCCAAGCCCATAACCTCCTCCCAGGGCCATTCTCAGTAGGGTGTTAGGGTCAGCGAGAAGCTGGAGAGCCCCTGGCCCCTCCCTGCTATGCCCACCCCTGACCCTGGCAGGGTGAAACACCTGTCAGCAACCAAGATAGGAGGGCGGTGGTGCCTGCTCCCGAAGTGGGTTATTTATAAGGAGCTAGTGGCAGCTGAGGTGTCCAGAAATAGGCACCCAAATCAGCAAGGCTCTTCTGCCCAGAAACCCAAGACGGTGGGGGAGGGGCCTTGAGAGCGGCCCAGTCCTCCTTGACTCCCTGTCTCTCCCCCTCCTGTGGGCACTTGTCCATCCTCCCTCCTCTCCCTCCCGGCCAAGTCCAGATGGGCATCCAGTTTGGGAACCTGTACCTCCCAGTCAGGGCAGACCTCCCTGATGTGTGGCAGCAAAGGGCCACTCTTTAAGTAGGGAAACTGGGGCTCCTTCTCTGAGAGTCCCTGAAGGCAACACAGGGCTGCTCTGTGCCCCTTCCTTTCTGGGTGGTCTGGGGCACAGATGGGGAGGGCTGGGGTGCAGGTGTGCTTGGGGACAGGAGATGACAGCTGAGAAGAAAAGCAGTTGTCTAGTTCGGTGTCCTGTCCTTAGCGAAGGTATGTGAAAATAGCCCCTGAGGTCAACTCCTTGACGTGAGCCACCCTTCCCAGAGCCCAGGGGGTGGGGAATAAGAGGCCCTGCAAGTCACTTGCTTGGGGGCCTGACCACACCCCCAGGCCCAGTTTCCCATCTGGCCAGCCTCCCTTGGGAGGAGCTGGTGGGCAAGAGTGTCGGATCCAGGCAACTTCAGGGGAGACTCTGAGCCCAGTTTGAGGGACCCAGGGGAAAGAGGAAGGGTGGGTAGGTGGAGTCCCTCAGGTACATCAATCCGTCCCTCCCGGCCACAAGCCAGGTGGGTCTTTCTGGGCAGGAAGGACAGATCCCAGTTCTTCACTCCTCCCTTTGCTCCCAGCCCAGCCACTGCCCGCTCTGGGAGTTGGCTCTCAAGACTACTTGGCATCTAAGCATCCTGGTGACCTTAGACAAAGCCCCCACAACCTCAGTTTTCATCTTTACAAAGCAGTGGTGTTGGAGGCAGTGGTCACTTGGGGCCGAGCCTTGGTCACTCAGGCTTCTAGGAGCAGGCTGTGGGCCCCCCAAGTACTGGAGCACCGGTGGGAAGGCCAAGATGGACAGGCCTCAGGGAAGGCCTAGAAAGTCTTTCTTTTTTGGCCTCCTCCTCTCTCAAACTGCTCATTTCTCCATAGCTTCTGTCCAGGTGACCCCTCCACTCCTGGGACTTCCTCAGAAACCCCACCTTCCTCTTCCCTGGCCTCCCATCCCTCTGAGTTTTGATTTGGAAGCATTTCTTTAAAAGCACAATGTTAGAATCTCAGACTCTTGGGATCCTGGGGCGGCCTCCTGGGTCTTGGGTCACCATGCTGAGGGTCAAGGTGCACCTCAGGGTCCCAGAGTGCATCTCAATGCTGGTCTTGCCCAGCCCAGCACACAGGATGCCCTGTCCACCCTGGCCCTGGGCAGCTTCTTGCCCATACCGACCTGTGAGTTGAGTCTGAGAGAAGGGCTGGAGCTCCCTGTGGACAGGACCAGCTGCAGGCACTGCCCGCCCAACCTCACACCCTCATGTTATAGTGACATTTGATCTTTCCCAGCAGCCCATTGGCCAGCGGCTGGGTGGCTGGGGCATGTGGGGAGGGAGCTGGGGGCTGTGCCCATGCAGGCCCCTTACCAAGTATAGGAATGGTCAGAGGAGGAAGCCGAAGGAGACAAGGATGGAGAGGACGTGCCCAGAGAAAGAGACGAGGTCCTCCCTCCTCCCCCAGGAGGTGTCATCTTCTATTTTTACTCCCCAACAGCGGGTACATTCTTGATGGCTGAAGAAGGGAGGAGGAAAGTATTGGGTAGCCTTGGAGACAGAGCTGAGGGATCTCCTTGGGCTAGGCCTGGGTGGGTTTCCCAAGGCTCTGCCTACTCTTTTTGAGATGTCCCATGGAGTGAATACTTTGTCTATGAAAGGGATCTGTACAGCCAGGTGAAGGGGAAGCCCAGGGTCCTGGAGACCTCCATGGAACTGAGGTCTCTGAGACCTCATCCAGGCCCCCATCATGTCTGAATCCCCCTTAGAGTCCAGACCAGCTTCTCTGGGAGCACACTGGAGGGGCATGTGGAGTAATGGGGAGGAGATAATAATCTGAGTCGGGCAGCTGCTTCATGTTGGGGGCATCTCCCCCAGTGGCTGTGCTTCCCCTCAAGGCCCTTGACTCTTGTGTTGGGGATTCGTTCTAGGTCCTTAAGGCCCACTGTTTCCCCGGGGGCTGATGCAGCATGTAGCCCTGAACAGGCTGTGTGTCTGTACCCTGGCTTTTCTTTCCTTAGGACTCCAGGTGGCATCATCCAACCGAGACCTCGCTTGGGCCTCTGATGACCTCCATGTTTGCCAGTAAGGCTTCAAGCTCAGATTAAGGAAATTGAGGCACTGAGTAGGGGAGAGCACTTGGCACCTTGATCTGTTCCCTGCCTCCTCCCAGACACTATAGGCTGATCATGACGGTAGGGTCTGTGGAACTGCTCAATTCAAGGCAAAAGTTGGTACCCTAGGTGGGACAGAGATAAAGATGGGGTGAATCTTGGGAGATGCAGAAGAGAGGCCTAGAGTCAGGGATATCAGGGTAGCCTAGTAGGAAGTTCACAATGCCCAGCTCAGCTCTATCCTGACTCTATGCCCTGGGGCCCAGTCTTCCAAGACCTTCCGGGAGGCTTTTTTTGGCACCTCATCCAGTCCTTCCTTGTTGTTTACAAGGCCACATAGGCTAGAGACAGGTGGGGCCATGATTAAGGTTACACCACAAGGAAGGCAGACCCCAGGCCACTGCCTGGCAGGTCAGAGTCCCTCACCTGTGTGTCTCTTCCTGAGCACTGACCCTGGGAAGTCCCTTGAAGTTAGAGCTTCTGGGGACAACTCTGCCCTTCTGATCAGAGCCTGTGCATCCCTTATGCCACCCCTACATCTGTGCATGTCCTCAGATGGATGAAGGTGGGGTGGGTCACACATAGTCCTGACCAGCTAACCCTGGTTAACCACACTTAGGCTAACCCTGACCAGCTCTCTGCCCACTGTGGCCATCTATAGTCACTTATGCAGGGAGCCTGAGCAGACTCCTGGGGACCACCGAATGGAGCTATGTAATCTCCCATCACGGGCTGACCTCTCTTTTTGGCCGGCTCCTCTGGCTCTGAGTGTGGACCTGGCCCACCCCAGCCCACAGCTGCAGGCTCATGCATGGGGGAAGTGCAGCGGAAGAATCAGGGCCAGCCTGCAAGCCATGCTGAACTGGGCCTAGGAAGCCCTACAAGGGCCACAGGGGTCCGGGTCATCTTCAGGTGCTGTGCCTGCAGGTGGGCAAGCCACGTACCCTGCAGTGGCCCTGCTTGGCCAGCAGGGGAGAGTGGCTGCCCGCTAAGTGGGCTCGGCCTTTGGCAGGTGCTTTCCCACAAGCCAGCTGAGGTCAGAGAGACTGGGCAGGTTTATTTTGGGTTTTGGCGATCTCTCCCTAAGGGTGCCAGGCCCAAGGTACAGCAGGACAGCACAGAGCAGGCGCTGCGGACAGGACACCAAGGGCCCGCCACAGGTAATCCATGTCCTGGTAGCACTGGCCTGGCTGGGCGGCTTCAAGGAGATAAGGCATGGAGGAGCCTCTCCTGGGGTTCTGGGAGTGGGGCTAGAGATGAGGGTGGAAACAGAAGACACCCTGGTAGCTCAGCTTGGGTCGAGTGGGGGACTGATGTCCACCCTAGGAGAAGTCTGAGGACCAACTGTGTAGGCCCAGGCCCGGGAGAAGTGGGAGGGCGGACTTCCAAAGTTGGCGAATGGTGAGTTGAGCCCAAGAGTGGGGAGGAGGCCATGAGAGAGAGGAACGGTCTCCAGCACCTCTCAGCTTCGGTTATCTGGGTGGGTGACCCCCAGAGTGGTGCAGGATGGGCAGGGACACTTCAATCTGGGGCTTAATCTCAGCTCCCAGCACGCATGAAGGGGGCTGTGGAGCCCTGCAACCCTGAGCTTCTCTGGGTGCCCTGAGCTGCCCTGAGCACCTAAGCCAGTGCCAGCCTGAGGCAAGTGGGCCCAAAGCAGCTGACACAGCACTCAGGGCCCAGAGGCTACAGACCAGGCCGCTGCCGCCCCACATGCCAGGTACTTCTGGTTTTACAGATTGATTGGTTTTCTCTGCAGATATTTTGAGGCATCTCTGTGTGGGGCTGGCATTGGTGCCTGGAGTAGGGAGCAGTAGGGTGCCAGGTGAGGCCCCCAGGCAGGCAGGACGGATGGTAGGGGGTGGGCAGCATTCTGACCTATCAGGGCAGTGGCAACTTCAACTCCCCAGATCTGGGGTGTGTCATTGCTGTAGTCCTGGGGCAGAGGCCATGTCAGAAACATGAGCAAGGCTGTGGCTGGATGATACTAAGAGGAGACAGACCCGGGTTCTTGTCTCCAAGGCCCAGCTAAGAGGTGCTGCAGATCACCTGAGGGACTGAGGTGGGTCAGGGGGGCGTGGCCCACTGTCCTCCTGGCACTGTTGGTCTTACCTGCATCCTGCCCCTTTGTGCTGTCCACTCTGGTCCTCAGTGCTGGGTGCCCAGCTCAATGCCCATCTGTGTTTTGGGGAGCTGCTCCTATCTGCTGCCCTTGGCCACTGTCCCATCCTAACTGAGTGGGAAAGGAGTCACCTGGGAGAGGTTTCCTGGTGGGATAGAGCATGGCCCTGGCTGTTCTCAGCCATGAGGCCATGGGCGGAAAGGAGAGGGGCAGTGCCACCTCTGGGGCTTTGTTGAGCTTTCACCTCTCTGAGCTGCTCATATTCAGGAGACAGGTCGAGTTGACCATGAAGGCTTCAGAAGATGGGACTCTGAGCAGCTAAGAGAACGGCAAAACCAAGCCTGGAACATCGAAGGTCAAGGGGCCCTGATCTTCAAAGGACTTTAGATACCCAAGGTAGCAGGCCCAAGATACTCAATGTCAGGCCCAAGTATAGGTCCAGAGAGAGGAGGAAGAGATGGGGACAACACCCCCTACTCTGTTCACTCTTTCACACGCTTGTCTAGTTAGCCCCCAGCCACTCTTTAATTCTCATGCATCCATTCTCACACTCACAACTTTTCTTCCTTTGTTCCCTCCCTCCTTCACTTTCCTTCTTTCCTCTCTCCCTCCGTTGCTCCATCATCCACCCATTCATTCTTCCATCCATCTACCCACCCACCCAGTTACCCATCTATCCATCAGTCCATCCATCCATCCATCCATCCATCCACCCACTCATCCCTAACCCAGCCACTGATCCATCCATTTATCGATCTCTTCATCCACTGCCTGCTCATCTTTCCCTCCACCTATCTGTCCATCCACCAAACCTTCAGTGAGTACCTTCCAGATGCTGGGATGGGGGATGACCCCAAGGTGGATCTTTCTCTCAGTGAGCACACAGTCAAGGCACAGAATAGACAGACACACCGTATCAGAGGCTGCGAGGTTTATGCCAGCCAACGTGGGTGGATGGCACAGACCTTCTGGGAGAGGAAGGCTGAATCTTACCCATTGTGTGTGGTCCAATTTAGGCCACCATACACCTGTGATCCTGCAGTCTACCACTGTGGAAGGCAACAGGCCAGGATGGAATGCTGGAATCCAGTGCACTGTGCAGTATGGGATTGAGCTTGCCCCCAATACAGCCTTCCCATCCCAGCCACGCCCTCGTCCCTCTGCACCATCGGTGAGCACAGGAGAGTCAGCACATAGGACATAGGCAGAGCTTTATTACACAAAATGGAGGAGGGGCTGCAAGCAGGGGCAAGGGAGGGACACAGCCCGAGCATCCAGCACAGATGTTGGTGGCATGTAACCTGGAGGTCACCCTTCAGGAGGCACTCAGATCTGGTGAGGTACATGCTGTCTTCATCTCCCATCTTCTTCAGGAGCACTTGACCTCTCTGGGGGTGGCCCCTTTAGCCCATGATTGGGGAGTTTCTTTCATTTCCCGGTTGTGAGAGGCAGCTGGGGTCAGAGGGTAGGAGGGAGAGAGGTTGGAGGATCCAGATGCAAAAGGAGGTGGTAGTGGAGGCAGGGGCATTAGAGGGACAAGGGCAGTCTGGCTGGCAACAGGAAGTGACTTCTTAGCCAGGACTTCAGGCAGGCATCTGGCTGGCTTCTCTCTTGAGAGTGTGGAGGGTGTCTCCAGCCCGACCTGCCGACCTGGACACTGGAACACAGGCATGGAGTGCAGGGAGTGTTAGGCTGGAGCCCTCCTAGGGTTCCACAAAACCATGGGCTCCTACTCCCCTCCGCAGCTCTGCCTTTCTCTGGTGGCCACGCGGGCCCTGCCCATACCCCCTCTTCACTACCAGAAGGCTCCCTTGTCTAGCCTCTACCTTGAAGCTCTTCTCCACAGGAGCTCTTAAGCCCTGAGTCTGGCCCCCAAGTCAGGGTCCCCATCTCAAGATGGATAAAACGCTGCTACCGCCTGCTTGTCCACTAGCCTGGCACCCCCTAGAACTAGGTCTGGGTCCCGAGACAGCCAGCAGTCAACCTCAGGCCCCGGACAGACTTCTCCTGGCCCCTCCCCAGGCAGATTTGCTGCTGCCTTGGCAGAGCCAGCCCCCACCAGCAGCAGCCCCTAGGCCCCCCTCCTTCCCCAAGCCAGACAGCCTCTGGCTCAGCCCAGATGCCATTTGTCAACGTCCTTGCAAACACGTGGCGCCCAGAAACCAGGGCTGGCGGCTTGGCCAGGACCACCCCGGCCAGGAGGTCTGCGGGAATATCCCATTTAGCGTAGCTCAGCGAAAATTGCTCCCACCTTCCGGCCAATCTACCTCTCATGATGCAGCCTCAGCTTTCCTGAGCCTTTTGGCCGCCACCTCTCACCGCTGGCTCGCAGCGGTCGCGCCTGTGGTCGGACGCGCCTGTGGTCGGGCCGGCGACGGCGCGTCGCCCCTCACGTGTC